GTTATAGCCCAGTGTACCTTGCTATCAATCACATGTCAGTACCCTGTTCCCACTCGCTGCACCTAACCTGCCTTTAACCCCTTTAAGAAGTCCTCTGTAGCAACTGCTCCCTTCTCTGTTCCATTCTTTAGCTCTTTTCTTTTTCGTTAGCTGCTCCCTCCGTTTACAGCCTTGCATTTACTTGCAGTGCTTCAGTAACTAAACCCAAGAAGAAGCGAAAATTCTTTCCAACCTGTACCATTCTGCCAGTATCCAAATCGGCCAACCTGCTGTCTGAGAACCCGCCTTCTGTTATCCCGCCTGATGACCCGGTGCCTGCTATCCTGCCTGATGACCCGGTGCCTGCTATCCTGCCTGATGACCCGGTGCCTGCTATTCAGCCGGATGATCCGATGCCTATTATCCAGCCGGATGACCCGATGCTTGTCGCCCAGCCGGATGACCCAATGCTTGTTGCCCAGCCGGATGCCCCGGTGCCTGCTATCCTGCCTGACGACCCGGTGCCCGCTGCCCAGCCTGACGACCCGGTGCCCGCTGCCCAGCCTGACGACCCGGTGCCCGCTGCCCAGCCTGATGACCCAGTGCCCGCTGCGCAGCCTGATGACCCAGTGCCCGCTGCCCAGCCTGATGACCCAGTGCCCGCTGCTCAGCTTGACGACCCGGTGCCCGCTATGCAGCCTGAGGAACAGATAACTGCCATCCGGCCTGAGGACCCGCTGCCCAGCCTGATGATGCGCTGCCCAGCCTGATGACCCTTTGCCCGCTGCCCAGCCTGATGATCCGCTGCCCGCTATGCAGCCTGAGGAACCGATAACTGCCATCCGGCCTGATGACCCGGTGCCCACTGCCCAGCCTGATGACCCGGTGCCCACTGCCCAGCCTGATGACCTGGTGCCCGCTGCCCAGCCTGATGACCCGGTTCCCGCTCTGCAGCCTGATGTGCCCGCTGCCCAGCCTGATGTGCCTGCTGCCCAGCCTGATGACCCGGTGCCTGCTGCCCAGCCTGATGACCCAGTGCCTGCTGCCCAGCCTGATGACCCGGTGCCTGCTGCCCAGCCTCCGCTTGCTGCCCAGCCTGTGGTGCCTCCGCCCGCTGCTGTCCAGCTAAACTGGCCGATACCCGATTCCCAGCCTGCTTCTGGAGAACCTGTGTCCTGCAACCTGCCTTCCTGTTTTCTCCTACATAAAGATAAGTCTCCCAGCAGGAAACCCAGCCAGTCGCTTGACTCCGGCAGTGGGATATCCAACCAGTTATCTGACCCGGGCGGTAGAACATTTTGCCCACTAAGGACTGTTTGGAGTGTCCTGAGGCCGCTCCTTAAAGGGGGGGGGGGTACTGTTAGGAAAGGACTCACCGCTGCTGATGGGCTGCAGTACCAGTTCTTGCCAGCGGGTTGCTTTTCAGCTGCCAGGATCTCATCTCCTGCAATCAAGCCATCACCTGAGGCTGATTGCAGGAGGTGTATTTAAGCAGTAACCAGGCCTGCAATCAGTGCCTTGGTGTATTGTTCCCATGTGCCTGTGATAACCTGTTTTCCTGAACCTGCTCCCCGTTCCTGTTCCTGTGATCTGCTCCGTGTCCTGTCTGCCTCTCTGTACCCCATGCTTGATCAACTGTGTATAACCCTGGCTAGCCCTGACTACTCTTTTGTTCTGTATATATTGGGTGAAGGATTCAGATTATTTGTTTTTTACTTGCACGGTGCGTTTTGTATATTGGTGTGTTGCACAAATAAACTATATTATTACATTACTCCTGAAGCCTGCTATTCCCTGTGTCAGTCCACACATCTCTGGTCATATCCGGATCCTTGACACTGCCATCTTGTGCCTAATCAGTACATCACTGGATGTTCATCATACTTGGTGCATTATACAGCTACTGAACGTGAGTGCATTTCTTATATTTAATTGCTGAATAAAAGTTTAAAAGGATAAAGCACTATGTTGAGTTCTTTCAATGAGAAATACGGCTGACACCAAGATTTTTATCAGGAGAGAGCATACTTTGGAGTCCTCATACAGCAAGCTGATCTTCGGAGTCGAAATGGGAACAAAAGTGCAGTTAGACCATAACATTGTATAATGTGAGCAGATATATGGTAGAAGATGTTTTTGCACGGGAATTTGTGACAGCTGCAAACACTTTTCGTTATCCAAAGGAGGGTTCACAGAAGAACACTTTATTGATTGGACTTGAGTTTTTGAATTACTTTTGGCTGATTTATACTTTATATCTTTTATTTTTTGTGTGGTCCTTGTTTTTTATAGATTTTTTTTATATATATATATAGTTTTTTTTTATTTCATTTTTTACTTTGCTTATGATATATAGGAATTGTGCAATTTTGTTCATGTAGTGTAGCATTTTTTTCACTTTATAATACTTTTGTCTAACTAAAGAACTGGGAATCCCTGTGCAAAGCACAGAAATTGATGATGGCAAGAAAATTGGTTATTTTAAGACATGCATCTCAAATATCTTTTGAGGCCAGGGATTTTCTTGGTTGAGAAGAGGGCACTTCCAAATGAATTATCAATGACCTTTTGAACCTTGAAGTACAGAACAACTTGGACATAGTGGTGAAAAAGATGGAATAAAATCCCTTGAAACTATCTTGAATAGGAATGGGAACAATTACTTACTGTGATTCAAGCCCATGTACAGTGAGGAACAGAAGTATTTGAACACCCTGCGATTTGCAAGTTCTTCGAAATCATGGAGGGGTCTGAAATTCAAATTGTGGGTGCATTCCAACTCTGAGAGACAGAATTAAAAAAAAAAAATCAGGAAATCACATTGTATGATTTTTAAAGAATTTATTTGTCTTGCACTGCTGAACATAAGTATTTGAACACCTAAGAAACAGCAAGAATTCTGGCTCTCAAAGACCTGTTACTGTGCCTTTAAAAAGTCCACCTCTACTCCACTCATTAATCTAACTTCATAGCACCTGTCTGAGCTCTTTAAAACACCTGTCCACCCCACAGCCAGTCAGACGCCAACTACTACCATGGGCAAGACCAAAGAATTGTCAAAAGACACCAGACACAAAATTGTGGACCTCCACAAGGCTGAAAAGGGCTACGGGGCAATTGCCAAGCAGCTTGGTGAAAATAAATCAACTGTTGGAGCAATTGTTAGAAAATGGAAGAGGCTACAGACGACTGTCAGTCTTCCTCGGATTGGGGCTCCATGCAAGATCTCACCTCTTGGGGTATCACTGATGATAAAGGTGAGGAATCAGCCCAGAACTACAATGGAGGAGCTGGTCAATGACATGAAGAGAGCTGGGACCACAGTTTCAAAGGTCACTGTCGGTAGAACACTACGCCGTCATGATTTCAAATCATGCATTGCACGGAAGGTTCCCCTGCTAAAGTCATCATATGTCCAGGCCCGTCTGAAGTTTGCAATGACCATCTGGATGATCCAGAGGAGGCATGGGAGAAAGTCATGTGGTCAGATGACACCAAAGTAGAACTTTTTGGTCTAAACTTTACTTGTCGTGTTTGGAGGAAAAAGGATGAGTTGCATCCCAAGAACACCATCCCTACTGTGGAAGCATGGGGTGGTAACATCATGCTTTGGTGGTGCTTTTCTGCGACGGGGACAGGATGACTGCATTGTATTAAGGAGAGGATGAATGGGGCCATTTATTGTGAGATTTTGAGCAACAACCTCCTTCCCTCAGTCAGAGCATTGAAGATGGGTCGTGGCTGGGTCTTCCAACATGACAACGCCAGGATAACCAAGGATTGGCTCAGTAAGAAACATATCAAGGTTCTGGAGTGGCCTAGCCAGTCTCCAGACCTAAATCCAATAGAACATTTTTGGAGGGAGCTGAAACTCTGTGTTGCTCAGCGACAGTCCCGAAACCTGACAGATCTAGAGGAGATCTGTGTGGAGGAGTGGGCCAAAATCCCTGTTGCAGTGTGTGCAAACCTGGTCAAGAACTACAGGAAACCTTTGACCTCTAATTGCAAACAAAAGCTTCTCTACCAAATCTTAACACTGATTTTCTCAGTTGTTGAAATACGTATGTTCAGCAGTGCAAGACAAACAAATTCTTTAAAAATCATACAATGTGATTTCCTCTTTTTATTTTTTATTTTTTTTAATTTTGTCTCTCAGAGTGGGAATGCACCTACAATGTGAATTTCAGACTCCTCCATGATTTCTAAGTGGGAGAACTTGCAAAATCGCAGGGTGTTCAAATACTTCTGTTCCTCACTGTATGGCTTGTGGGAAAAGAGGAGGATTTGAAGTAAAATCCTGCACCCAAACATCGGAACAATTTGGGAGCAAAAAATCAGCAAGTGTTCCACCTCCACATCTTTGACTGATGGATACACACCTCAGATTGAAGCGGAATTCCAGTAAATACTTAATTACATAAATCTTTTTTTTCCCTTTTGGGAGAAAAATGTTTTACATAAGTGAAAAGCTGACTATTGCATTAGCCCTGTCAGTTTTAGATGGACTGTCTCAACCCTTGAACTACTTTGTCTGGACAGCTTGGTTTGCTAAAGTAAGGTGAAAAATAAGAGACATACTGCATAAATCACCAGGTGAAGATAAAGGGGAAAAAAAGAATAAAAGAAAACAAATGCAGCCACCACATCTAAGAATTGGTAAGCTGCAATTTAATACATTTTTGTTTTTGGGTTTAATACCAGGATAACTATGTCAATAAGCGGTGTGTGGTAAAATATAATATTTTAGGTCTAATTAACCAAGGGATTTACTAATCAACTTTCTAGTATTTAAGAACTCCTCCAAATGCAGTATAGAATTTCTTCAGAATTATGCTTTCCAGATTTGATTGTATTTCTATTTAACCACTTGTCTACAGGGCAGTTATATCCCCTTATTGCCCAGGCCAATATTCAGCTTTCAGCGCTGTCGCACTTTGAATGACAATTGCGCAGTCATGCAACACTGTACCCATATGAAATTTGTAGCATTTTTTTGAGACAGAGCTTTCTTTTGGTGGTATTTATTCACCTCTGGGTTTTTAATTTTTTTGCTAAACAAACCAAAAACAAATGAAAATTTTGAAAAAAAAAAGGTTTTTTTTTTTTTTTGTTTCTGTTATAAAATTTTGTAAATAAGTGATTTTTCTCCTTCACTGATGTGCGCTAATGAGGCTGCACTGATGGGCACTGATAGGCTGCACTGATGGGCACTGATGGGGAGGCACTGGTAGGTGGCACTGATGGGCACGTAAAGGCTGCACTCATATATGGCACTGATAGGCAGCACTGACGGGTGCTGATAGGCGGCACTGACGGACACTGATGCGCACTGATTGGTGTCACTGATTGGCAGCACTGATGCATCTTCCTTGCAGTGGTCCCCTTCTAACTTTAGCCTAGTGGAGGAGTATTAAGGTGTAAATGCTTACCTTATTTCTCTCTCTCAGCGGGCTCACTCCACTGCTATAACCAGTTGCTAACAGCTGCTCTGCAAGCTGTGACCACCTCTGGTATGTTTTCCAGCCTCCCAAGAATACCATACAGGGAATAGTGTCTCTGTATGGTAGGTGATGACCTATCCACAAGATACCTATCCTATAATCCTCCAGGCTAAATGAGTAGTTAACCCTTGTAGTGCAAGGTAGGGTTTCTTTTATTGGAGTTGGAATTTATGCTATATGTCCCTTTATTAATATTTTAACTATTAATTATTATGTATTGTTTTAGGGTGGCATGGGTGCAGCGCTTCTGTCAAGTCCTGAGAATATTGAGGCGGTAAGTCCACAGTGTTCATATAAGGACTCTTCTCTGAACAAAAAAAGTCTACAGTTTTTTTAGATTTATTAACATCCTTTGGTTTGTTTAAAGTTGCTATTATGTAGATTTAGACGATGTCCTACATCAGAAATCCACAGTATTTTGTTTTGAGTCAACCCTGTTAAAAATTGGACCCCAAATTTTAGAGAGGATAAAAAAGATGCATTCCAGGTTTATGGTACATATCATGGCATTGAAGTGGAACCTTTTTCTACCAGACAGGATTGCTTTTTTGAAGCCGTAAAATTAAAACATGACATGGCAGTAAAACAGTCTGCCATGGTAAAATACAATGGTCAAAACATCGATATACAACAAGGTTTATTATCCAAGAGTACATAACAAAAAGGAGGGGAGTAACAAAGGGACAAATCGTTCTCATGCCATAGAAGACATAACCAGTTCCTGCACAGTACAGCCATCTACTAGGAAGTCCATGGAAGCCAAATCTTATACTTCCAAGGTCAGCCACAATTGATCAGTTTTTACAGTGGCAATGCTGCATTCACCATGGCCTCCCCCAAGTCAACACAATAGAAAGAGCAGTGGAGGTCCATTTACATAGAATTTCCTTTTTAGCATAATACAACAAGTAGGAGATCAACAGTTTGGCATGATGAGACTGCTGGGTGTCCTCATGGTTCCAAAGCAAAGCCAATGCCAGGGAGATTTGAAGAGTTAACTGTGTCCTATAATTAATGAGCTCAAAAACATCTGACCAGAATGAGGACAGCTTAGGGCAGTCCCAAAACATGAAAATAGGAGCTTCGGTGAATGCGACAATGTGGGCATACAGGGTCATAGTTCAGGTAAATTCTATGGAGTCTTCTATGGAGTATAGTATATGCAAGAATTTATTCTGTATCAACTTGTTTTTAGAGGAAATTACTAATTTAGGACAATGCTGAATACACTCCTCCCAATCCTTCCTATATAAAGAGGCCTTCCAGAGGTCCTACAAGCACTCAATTTTATGGGAGTAAAGAAAATTTCACCAGTCGGGGAAGTGTGCCATTCCAGATAAAGTAACTGACATAGTGGTCTATAGCCCGATACAAAGAACTAGGAATCCAAACCAGACAATTCCTAAAAATATAGTTAAATTTGGGCAAAATCATCATCTTAAGGAGGTTTATACTCCCCAAACGAATTAGCAGGAGACTACACCACAAGGCACACCATCCCCGGTGCAGCGAGAGTAAAGGTAGCAAGTAGTGAAACTCAACCACCCACCTCAAAAGAGAGGGGTGGCCCAACGACCAGTCCTGATCGTCTAGTGGGAAAAGAATGGACTTGGACCAGTTAATACGTATTCAAGAAAAAAATCCTAAATGTATCAAAAAATGTCCAAGGTCGCCAAGAGTGAGTGACCTGCATCATTCAAATAGAGCAGGGCACCGTCCGCTTAAAAGGACTCAATTTCTCCTCCAAGGCCCAAATCCACTGCCCTCAAACCGCTGAGATTCCCTGACCAAAATTGCCAGGGGCTCTAGGCCCAGGGCTAACAGGCTAGGGGAAAGAAGGCAGCTCTGGCTTTTGTCTTATATCACAAGGGTGACGAGTGTATTTATAAATGTATTTTTCCACAGCAACAAATCCAACATTTCTTCTCCAGAAAGAGATTTAATGGACTCAGAAACAATCCATAACCATCTGACAGAGGTACAAATAAGTCAGATTGCAGGATACTTAGAATATTCATGCAATTCTCAAAAACCTTCAGAGGACCCACTTTCTCCTGTCATAACTTAACCAGAATAACCTTCCCTAATATACACATTTTCCCCATTCAGTAAAATGACAAGCACTCTGATTGGCCACTTTTAGTTGCCAGTTACTTTGATCTTCTGGGTGACAGGTATTGCCTTTTGACCTTGGACACCTGCAGTCATAAATTCTAATCAAAGTTGCCCAGATATTTCCTAAACTGCATATATATTTACAATACCCTACATGCCCCCACTTGAATTGTTTCTATTTAGAATCGATTCACAAACCAATACCCAACAAACCAACCTATATTATCAGCTAGAAGGATTTTCTTCATTGGCTATAAGACAACAGATTGGTGCCGTCCAAGTGACCAGAAGAGCATTTTCGGATTTAGTAAGAGAAGTCTGTGATGACAACAGTCCTGTGTGGTGGACCCAGAAGCTGTGCTGTGACTCCAAAATCTGCTTGTGACTTAGCAGTCTGATCCATAATTTGAAGAAGTTTTGGAACCCCAGAATTATCTGGAGACTTGAAAATAGAACCAAAGGGTGTGCCGTGGACCAGAAGACCTGAAATGGACACAGAGGAAGTAACTCCAAGTCTGAGCATCACTTGCGGTGAGTAAAATATTTCCTTTGCTTTCAGTATTATCTATATAGTCAAAATGGTTTCAAAGTTTGATGCTAGTGTCAGTTCTGACAGAGTTAACAGATGGGTGTTAGAATATATTAAATTAAATGGTGGTCCTTATGAAACTCCAGAAAAATTTAAGCAGACGTGGACTTTAATGAGGGAATTTTTAGAGAAAAATATTTTGATAGCAACATTTCAGAAAGTAAGAGAAAAGGTTTTATTTTGTAGGGCTTGTTGTCTTGCTTTTTAAGTTTAGAAAATTTTGTGATGGGTAAAGACAATGAAATTGCTCAGTTACAGAATGCAGTTGATGGTAGCAACTGTGGGATATTAAATAACCAATCAGAAACTGGGACTGCAAATTTAAAATTGCATGCAGTTACTATTGAAGAAGCATTGACCAAGAAATCGAAGCTTTGTGATGAATTGTCAGAGGAAAATGTGAGATTGAAATTAAGAATTATGAAATTGGAGAGAAATAATATCTCTCGTTTCCCCTGCGGCGGGGGAGAGCGGACCTCTCTTCGAGTCCCCCCGCGGCAGTGGAGAGCGGGTGTCTCCTCTCAGTGGAGGAGAGAGGACCTCTCCTGCACCTGTCCCTTCAGCGGCGCTGCCAGTGTAATGGTCGTGCCGAAGAAGAAGTTGGAGACCGGAACTCGGCTTTACAATGAGGCTTGGGGCGCAGGTGGAGCCGCTCTATCTGTGCTCGCCACACAAGGATTTCCCTCGCATTGGGCGAGCGGCTTTTTCAAGCCCTGCTATAGGGCATGCTCTTTTGGTTTAGAATTAAACAGATCTGTATTCAACCTCTAATGACAAGAGATGTATTACTGTAATTATTGTATTGCATTGTATTGTATGGCATACAATCCCTGTTCATGGGAGGTTCAAACATATGCTGAATAAATCTCCCTATGAATTGTCACATAGGATAGCTACTATCATGTAAATATTGGTTGGTAAAATGCTTCATTTGAGAGTGGAGGCTTGATACACAGGAGTACGGTTTTAGGTGCTTTGCGTGAGGATATCCATGAAAATATTTTATTGGCTACTTCAAATACTCATTTAAATGACATTTTATTAAGAGCAGATAATTTATGGAGAAAATAAAAAAGGAAGGCTGTAAAAGTTGATGGAGCCACATTGTTTAGGACTAATGCCGAACATAACGATCAGAGGGTCTAAACTGTCAGGAAGGATTTACCAGGTTAAAGACTTGCGGTCTTAATGTGCAAAACAAAGCTACTCAAAATAATAAGCAAAAGTCCAAGACCTTGATACCATTTTCTTTCTTAAAACAGGAATATGACCATAGGAAAAATGAATATGATTAAATGAGGGTAGAACGGGACATATTATTGAAACAAGGGAGTAAATTAGAAGATGCTATAAATACAGGGACAGCAGGAGGTGGGGAGGGGGGGTCCTTCAGATCTGTCTTTGGATGCAAATTAGACCTTTCTCACAGTGGGGGTGAATCAGCTTGAAACTGTAAAAATTTAAATAGTACCTTGTCTTATCTTCAAACACAATGTTTAAGGACTTGGCTAATGAACCTTTGTTTGAGGATTTATTGTCTTTCAGATGTTGGAGGTGTTAATCTGTGTGATCAGAAATACTCATTTTACAAGTAAATTACAGAAGCACAGAAGTCTCCTGAACCTGTTGGCTTGTGGGGGAGACCAGAATGCCCTGAAAAGCTATTTTGTGTTATCACCATACAATGAATGACAAAGACTTTAAAATAATGGACTCTCAAAGTATTTATCAAGCACCAAACTTTACGTTGTGATTTTTCTATGCCACCATCCTACTTTTTTTTTCTATTATCTTATTTCTTATTTTCATTATCTTTCATCTCTTGATCTTTATCTTAAAACCAGAGAGAGGCATTTAAACCTGAAATTCATTTTAAAACCGTTTGTAAATATGTAATTCCTGAGGTGAGATGCTACACAATGGATTTGCATAGCATAACGTATTGGGTGTCCCAGTGTTTGCACACTGATGCTCAGGATGGGTAGGATAAGTTGAGGATATAAAATACTTTGGGTGGCTTTATCTAAATTTTATAAGAGGGGTGAGTGAAATATGTCATTCCAGTCAGAATTTGAATTTTATCGTATCAGTTATTTATAA